TATGCGGATGTGGGTCAAAGGGAGGGAGAAGTGGAGAAGGACGGTGATAACCTTCTGGCAGACTCTGCAAGCGAAACTGCCGGCACCAGCGAATCGGTGGGAGTATGCGAACGAGAGGATCTGCTTCAGCAGATATATCTTTTACAGGGGGAAAAGTCCCTTCGGTCGACAAAAGGGTTCTGAGTGCTTGTTGGAGATGAAGCTGGGGGGTTTGGTACATGCAGGATGGGATGGCGAGAGGAAGGTCAAGGACTTGTGGACCCTTACCAAAGAGACTGGCAGTTCAGTGACGGCGAGATGGGCCTTGAAGGCATGGAAAGCTGCACCAGAGGAGTGGAAGGCGGCCTTGCTGGAGAAGCCGACAGGAGAGGAATTTCTAAAGGTATCACGCTTCGCCAGTTCGCGCTCTCTGGCGGGGAAAGAGATGTATTGGCAGCTGCTGTCAAGCGATGGCGGCGAGATCCTGGGTAAAGCAGCGGCAGTGGGGAAAAAAGGCGAGGTGCTGCTCACTGACAGAGCTAACCAGGTGCTAGTGTACATGCACAGATTGACTCCTCTACTAGTGGAGGGAGGGGTGTTGGTGGGAGAAGCTGGCCTTCCTCTAACACGGCTCAGGATGTCGGTGCTTTGTGAGAAGGGCAAGGGCGCTCCTCTGAAAAAATTGCGGGCAGCATTGAAGGGGCCAGCAGAACAACCGAAGCAGCAAAAGAAGTGGGAGCAAGAGTACGGAAAACCGATAGACTGGAAAGGGACCATCCAGAAGCGGGACACTCTGGTCACGTCGGGCAGGGCTCGAGAGGTCATCCTGCGACTGCATAGCAAGAACCTCCAAGTTGGAGAGAGGCTGCATTTCATGCGGGATCGAATCAGCTGCCCACACTGCAAAGAAGATGAAACCCTAGGGCACTGTTTGCTGGAATGCGACAGTATACAGCCTGTCATCGGCGCGCTCAAAGGGGCACTGAGGGAGATGAATCCGTGCAGGGCAGTGGGGAAGCTGGAGGATTTCCTTTTCGCGGATGATGGCACGAAGTCAGGCTTCCCGGAAAAGCCGCTGATTGCGGTGGCTTTCCACCAGATTTGGCTGGAGCGGTGTGAAGCGGCTTTTCGGCAAGATAAATTTCAACCGCGAAGAGTACTCAGGAAGATTGGCGTGAACTTCATGAAGCATGTCAGAATCTACAATGCGTGCAAGAAACAGTCAACGGGGGTGGCAGGCGTGGAGGAAGAAGGAGTGGTGCAAAGCTGGAACCACCTGGCGAAGGACGAGGCTAGGATGCTGAGCCGGATATTCCAGGACGAGGACACGCTGACGTGGAAGGAGGGATTTAGATCGGTGTGGAACAACCCGAGAACTATCTTTCATCCACCTTAAAAAACCATGGAAGGGTAGTGTAGACCGTTGGTTTGCCAGATCCCTTCCCCCCTCACAGTTACGACTGTGGATGTACCCACTTTTATAAGTGAAATACGCCCTTAAAAAAAAAAAGGACAACAACGATCGCATCTTTGCAACTCCCGAAGACGAGGCAGCAGCAGCAGTACTCGACCGTGACCCCGCCGACGAACATCCCGGCGTTCCGCCTCGCCCGCGCGACGACGACGACGATGATGACGACGACACACCCGCACCAGGACCATCACGTCGCCAACACGATCCCAGCACTTCCGCAACTGCCCACGAGAGTGACGATGATGATGTGGTGGAGGTCACCACCGCTGACACCACCAATGTGTCCGGCCTGCAGCTTCTCAGCCTACACACGTCTGTCACTACCCTCACGCGCGCCGTCGAGCCAAGAACCCTCGCCAGGCCCTGACCGGTCCCCACGCTAAGGAGTGGCGTGTTGCTATGGACGCGGAGCTGAGGGCACTGGAATCACGTGATACGTGGGTCCTAGTCGATTGTGCAGCAGTGAAGGGGAGGAGGGTGCTAAGCGGAAAGTGGTTTTTTCGCCTGAAAACTAACGCTGACGGCACTATCGAGCGCTTCAAGGCACGCTGGGTCGTACGCGGCTACGACGCCACGGCATTGATTTCGATCAAACCTTCGCTCCCGTCAGCCGTCACACCTCCGTCAGGATTCTACTCGCCATTGCCGCCGCTAAGCACCTACCACTGCGGCAGATCGACGTCAAGAACGCATTTTTGTACGCGCTGGTGGATGCAACTATCTTCGTGGAACAGCCACACACCTACGGGGAAGGAGACCCCAGGGTCTGTCAGCTGAAGAAACCCCTCTACGGGATAAAGCAAGCGCCGCGTCTCTGGCAGCAGCACCTGCACAAAATCCTCCTGGAAATTGGCTTCAAGCAGCTGCCGCACGACCCGGGAATGTACCGCCTTCACTTCAACGGCGATTACATCCTCCTGACTGTCTACGTCGATGACCTGCTGTACACCGGCACCTACAACAAGCTTCTTAATCAGTTTGAGGAGAACCTGGCACAGCGCGTTGATATCACCATCAACCACAGCGTCACGCAGTTTCTGGGCCTGAACATCACCTACGCGCCAGAAGCAATTCACCTGTCAGCCTCCAAGTACGCAGAGCAGCTGGGGGAACGCTTCAACATCTCACCCGCACCACTGTCAACTCCTTACCGCAACCCCAGCGCCAACTACAAACCAGACAACAAACCTCTGTCGCCCGCAGGACTCCAAATGTACCAACAGAAACTGGGGTGCCTGCTGTTCGCCTCTGTCACCTGCAGACCCGACCTTTCGTACATCGCCAGCCAACTGGCACAGTACTCTCGCAAGCCAGTAGCAGAGAACCAGCTGGACCTGGAGCGCGCCCTGCAGTACTTCATCTCCACACCTGACATCGGGCTCTCCTAGTCCACGCTGACGACAACCTCCTTCAACCTCAACGGCTACGTGGACGCAGGTCATGCCGCTGATCCTGCAAATCGACGGTCACGAACCGGCTTTGTCTTCCGCTTGGAGCCAACAGGACCAATCCCCTGGAACTCACAAAAGCAGGAACTGGTTGCCCTGTCATCGGCCAAAGCAGAATACATCGCCGCGACAGAAGCAGTTCGCGAAGGTCTGTACCTGCAGGAGTTGCTGCAGGAAGCGAGAATTCCAACTTCGCCCACCTTTCGCCTTCACTGCGACAACCAGAGCGCCATCAAGATTGCGAACGAGCCAGGGTTCGTGAACCGCACGAAACACATCGCGCTTTGGCATTTTTTCGTCAACGACGAAATTGACCAGGGCAAGGTTGACCTCACGTACTGCCCCACCGCCGAGATGGCAGCCGACTTCCTTACCAAGCGACTGCCACGTGAGCAGTACAAACACTGCTCCGACCTCACCGGAGTAGTCGAGCGAGTCAGCCCCTTGCGCGCCCAGGAATGAAGGGGAGTGTTACGATATGAAACTTTATGAGAAGGCATTCCTGTATGCTGCAGGGGCCGACTCTACCGAGTACGAAGCCGAGGAGTCAGAAGAGTCGAAGCGACGCTGGTAACCGTCTGACCAAGACCGATGCAGGCAGAAACATTTGAAGTGAAAAGAGCGGGAACAGGTTTGAAACGGGTTCCCGCGCCGCACGGTTTGAACTTCGCTGTAATAAGGAAATGTACCCCTTAGAGTACATGGCTAGTCTAGGTCGTTTCGTATTCCTTTGTATTTCCTATATAAACTCGATGTATGCATGCTATTATTAATCTCAGTCATTTACATTCACTCTGACCTGAGGTCAACACTTCCGCTGCAACACTACCCTGCGATCAACCCTGAGCGATCCTTCGCTAAGTCCCACTTGAGATTGTAACACCCTGGATAGAATTGAGAATCACCCTGTCCTTACTGAGTATCTGCGCAGCCGAAACTTTCGAGATTTACACACTCTCGTAAGGAGGGCCTCCTTGGGGAGGGGGGTAGTGTAAGGAAAACTCATTTTCCTTACTTCGCACCCCTGCTTACCGCGTACGTGACCATTCCCGCCATCGGCACCCACAGTGAAACGTTACCCGCTCGCAGCACTCGCCTCGGCCACGACTCCCGCCACTGTTCGCGATGCGACCCAACCTAAAGGTTCGGTTGGTAACCCGCGCTCCGGACCTCCGCCTCGACAATTCCCAAACCTCGGCGCTAGGCCCGTAGCGCACCCCAAATTCCCGCATTACCGTTACCACGCTAGCTTCGCTATATAACTTCGCTCATGCTTTTCGCTCAACTGTATTGTTTGCTTCGATAGTGCAATTCTAGCTCTCTAGCTCAATTGCACTCGTAACAATAGACCTGTAGTGAAAGCAACAATAATTCCGAAAGGGTTTTTGTATGAACGGGGAGTTTCTATCACCCACTGGGCAAGTCCAAATCAGAGTCGCGGCTTGTCTCTTCCCCAATGACGTGCCTACTTGGTCTGACAATCTCACGCCGGAACATGGGGTACCATACCATACAGTTTTTGGAGCCATGCCCAGCGTATGTTTCCCACCAGATTCAAGCCCGAAGCTGTCTGCTGCGGTCAGATCTGAGCGAGCCGCGCTAGACTTGGGATGTTGATTTGACATTTGCGGCTTGTTGCACAAGCTAGACATTGTGAACCTCTTGAGTAGCCTCGTTCTACTTTCGCCACACCGAAGCTTGTTCCCGCGTCCTGGTTACACCCTCTGATCTGGTCCGGTTTGGCCTGGAAGTTTGGTCCGGGAGTCGCCGATGGCTCGCTTCCGAACCATACCTCTCTCCATGGCATGCCACAGTCCAGTCAGAGCTCCCTCCCACCACGGGTTTCGTTCCTCCCCGCACCTCGCGCGTCGGTCGCGAGTCACACTTCCCCGATTCGGCCTCTCGACAGCAGTCAGCTCGAAAGCAGCAAAAATACAACAGAAATCGGCTTTTGTGCTGTGATCCAGCTTAGCTTCAACAGCGTTGTTCCTACCGCAGTTGCAACAACACCCACCGTCGTTGTTATTACTTTTGAGGGGAATTCGCGTCAGGTTCCGTTGCGTTGAGCCCTCAGGCCTGGGATCTCCTTGGTTCGCAGGATGGGGTTGCAGGCGCTAGTGAAGGCCTTTCGAGGCGCCACCAACTCATGGAAGGGCAAGTCGCCGTACACCTCGCCGGGAGGGAATTCGACTTTGGCCACAAGCCTCGCGCTCGTCCTCGTCTTCCTCGTCTCCATGTGGCTCTTCACTTCGCCGGTACGCCTTCTTCATCTTTCAAATCTCCCGTTTTCCTTGCATTGGGGAGACTGAGCGTCGTTGTTGGCTGGAGCTCAGTAAAATTCGCATGACCTGTCTGTTACCAGCTCGTTATGGTGTATACTTTCGTATCCGTGTGCTCTTAGATCTGTATCTTCAACTTCCCTCCCTTTTCCCTTCTATCCCTCGACCGGAAACCCCGCCTCCTCCCGTGCATTCCCGCCACGTCACTCCCTCCACGTCACCATGCTACGTCACTGCCGGCATCGACCACCTGGTCCTCGCCAGGGTAAAAGTCCAGCCAACGGATTGCAACGCATTGCGGACGACGCGGTTTACACGGCGGTGGTGGTGGAGGAGCGCCGGGAAGAGTCGGCGGAGAGGCAGGCGGCGCAGTACGAGGGGGAGAAGGCGCAGGAGGCGCGTGAGCAGGCGAAGGTGGCGGCGGAACTGCAGCAGGTGGAGGAGCAAATAAAGGAGCTGGGCGGTACCGACGCTGCGGACCGCGATGCTGACGTGGAGCGCAAGTCCAGCCGCAAGGAGGGTCCTGCTGACGACAGCAAGGTGAGACTGGCGCGCAACTCACGCCGTTAGATCTCTCTACGATCACCTTTTCAAGCCACCAGTAATGCCTGGAAAATAATTTCATAGCAGCCAATGGGCTCTCGCCATCTGCCGCGCGAGAAGTTGAGGCATCTTCTCGCCTTCTCCGACGTCTGTTGAGCGCTGGCTTCTAACGTCCGTCTCTGCGCGCCCGTGTTGCGCGCAGGCGGAGCCGCTGCCGAGCCAGGCGGCGGAGTCGAAGGTGGAGCAGGCGCACGCGGAGACCGAGCCCGACACCGAGGTACGCTCTGCGCCGAGCACTCTGCGCTATGCGTTTTGCGCTGTGTGCTCCGCTCTGTGTGCTTTGCGCTGTGTGTCCTGCGCTGTGCGCTCTGCGCCCGAGGCTATGCGCTGTAAGCTAGGCAGCAGAGGGTTATGCGGTATGCGCTTCTGTATAGGTGAAGGTAACTGAAGGGTGATGAAAATCCTACACGTGCGATGAACGCGCACGCACTCACACCCCGCATCCCCCACATTCCCCGCATCCCCCGTATTCCCCGCATCCCCCGTATACCCCGCGTGCACCGCAGGAAAGCAGCACCGCCGAGAACAGCGACGCGACGGGCGAGACTTCCGAGGCAGGCGCGGCGGGCAAGGAGGAGGAGGAAGAGAAGGCGGAGAAGGCGGAGAAGGCGCAAGAGGACGGGGAGGAAGCTTCCGCGTCGCGGCCGACATCGGTGGCGCCGTATCCGCTGTGCGTGGAGCAGAACGACGACTACATCCCCTGCTTGGACAACGAGAAGGCGCTGCGGCAGCTGAAGAGCACGAGCCACTACGAGCACCGCGAGCGGCACTGCCCCGCCGTGGCGGAGGTGCCGCGCTGCGTGCTGCCGCTGCCCGACGGATACAAGCCGCACATTACGTGGCCGGAGAGCCGCGACCAGGTGAGCCGTGGGCGATGAGCGGAGAGCGGAATAGCTCGTGTCGTGTCTTACCACCCTCCGAACACCCTTTCTTTCCTTCACCTCCCCTCATCCCCGCTCTTCCCCCATCCCCCGCCAGTCCCCACCTCCCCCTCCCGCTCCGATAAAATCTGTTGCATCAACTGCCAGAAGCATCAACTCGCTACTAAACCCCTCGCTCTCTCGTTGCTCTTCCCCCCCACCTCGTTCCCTCCATCCTCCCCTCCCCGCATCCCGCGCCGCTCCCCCTGCGATCAGATCTGGTACAGCAACGTGCCGAAGCCGTCGCTAGCGAACTACAAGGCGGACCAGAACTGGGTGAAGGCGGACGGCGACAAGTTCCTCTTCCCGGGCGGCGGCACGCAGTTCAAGTACGGCGCCACGCGCTACATCGAATGGGTGCACGACGTGAGTGCGCGGGGCTGGCCGCAGAGAGATGCGCGCGCGCGCGGGTCGTGGGATAGGGCGGGGGGGGTTTGGGGATGATGGATGGGTAGTTACATGGAAAAGACCCTGAAAGAATCGTGTGAGGGGATTCGCGGCCTGTTTGGGTGTGCCATTTGGTGTGCCTGAAGCAACGCCTTACGCCATCCGCTTTGCCCCCGTCTCTCCGTCTCCCCGCTCGTCCCTCCGCCTCCCTTACCTCCCCCCTCGTCGCCTCCTCCTCCCGCAGGTGTGTCCGGAGCTGGCGTGGGGCAAGCACGTGCGCGTGGTGCTGGACATGGGGTGCGGCGTCGCGAGCTTTGGCGCGTATCTGGACGCGTTCGACGTGCGCGTGATGTCCGTGGCGCCCAAGGACGAGCACGACGCGCAGATCCAGTTCGCGCTCGAGCGCGGCGTGAGCGCGCTGGTGGGCGTGATGGGCACGCAGCGCCAGCCGTACCCCGCGAACTCGTTCGACGCCGTGCACTGCGCGCGCTGCCGCGTGCCGTGGCACATCGAGGGCGGCAAGCTGCTGCTGGAGCTGAACAGGCTGATTCGTCCTGGGGGGTACTTTGTCTGGTCCGCCACGCCGCTGTGCCTGCACTGCTCCGCTAAGGAGCCTGATGACAAGGAGATCTGGAGCGGTGAGTCGCGGGTTTGGTGCGGTGGGTGGGTGTGCAGGGGGGTGGTGAGATCTGAGCGCGATGACAATGGGATGTGTCTAGAGCGGTGAGTGGCGCGGTATGGTGGTTAGTCTCGTCGTAATCTCGTCGCATAGCATCGCACGCACCGCCCGCCTGGTGTCGCGCGCTGTATGTGTTTTTCACCGCCCGCCTGGTGTCGCGCCTCACACCTGTTTCCTCCCCCGTCTTAAATCGATGCGCAAGCCGACGAACAACATGCGCTGGAAGAGGCACCCAATCCCCTATCTGTGCCCCCATCCCCTCTTCCCTCCTCTTCCCCGTTCCTTCTCCTCCCCGTGCGCGCCGCAGCGATGCGCAAGCTGACGAAGAACATGTGCTGGAAGCGGGTGGCGAAGAAGGTGCACCGCGAGTTCGGCATCGGCGTGGCCGTGTGGCAGAAGCCGCTCGACAACGAGTGCTACGACGCGCGCCCCCGCAAGACCATCCCGCCCATGTGCCCCGACAGCAACCGCGCGGACGCCGCGTGGTGAGTGGACCGCCGACGGGGTGGGGTGCGGTGGGGTGGGGTGGGTTGGGTTGTGCGGTGGGGTGGGTTGGGTTGTGCGGTGCGGTGGGTGGGTGTGGTTTGGTGCAGTGCGGTGAGGGTTCCACCTAATATCTTGCACGTTAAATCAGTGTTCAATTAGCGCGCCGTGTCGCCTCGCCTCAAGTTTTAAACGTGTAGTCGAAAGCGTGGCACGTAACCCGTTCCGCGCCCTCGCACTTGCCCCTTCCCAATCCCCTCCCGTCGCTGCCCTCTCCCCTCTTCCCTAACCTCACCCATCCCCCCTTTTCCCCCCTTTTCCCCTCTCCCAACCCCCCATCCCCCCTTTCCCCCCCTTATCCCCTTCCCCCAACCCCCCTTCCCCCCTCCCCCCCACCAGGTACGAGCCGATGGAGGCGTGCCTGCACAGCGTGCCGTCCGCCAAGGCGCTCACCACGTGGCCCGCGGAGGGGCGCAACCGCCTGGTGACCGCGCCCCCGCGCATGGCGGAGGTGGCGCGCGGGCTGTTTGGCAAAGCGGGCCCGGCGGACTTTGACGCGGACACGGAGTTCTGGGAGCGCGAGACCAAGCGGTACTCACGCCACCTCAACATGGACTGGACGACCGTGCGCAACGTGCTGGACATGGACGCGCACTATGGCGGGTGAGTGCGGTGATGGGGATTGGTGCGGGGTGGTGTGTGGTGGTGGAGGGTGCTGGCGATTGGTGCATGCTCCTTGTGCCATGCACCATGACCATGCCCCATGCACCTTGCACCATGCACCATGCGCCATGCGCCATGCACCATGCACCATGCACCATGCACCATGCGCCACGCATGCAGACACTCTATAATTGCTCCACTCTCCTGCGTTGTCCACCTGCTGCCCGGTCTTCCCACCCACTGCTCGCCCACCCTCTCTATTTCTCTCATTCACTCTTTCTCCCTCCCAGATTCGGCGCGGGCATTTCCGACAAGCCTCTGTGGACCATGAACGTGGTGCCAGCTGGGAACGCGAGTGAGGGGCTGGACACGCTGCCCATCGTGTTTGACCGCGGGCTGCTGGGCGCGTACCACGACTGGTGCGAGGCCTTCAACACGTACCCGCGCACCTACGACCTCCTGCACGCCGACCGCCTGCTCGGCAAGATGATGCAAGGCAGCAGGTGCGATTTGGGTGTGGTGTGCGTGGGTCTGCGGTTGTGCGTGCTTGTGTGCTGGGTGAGACTTGCTTCAGCTGTGGCAGTTTGAGCTTGGGCTGGTGCACATGGGCAGGCAGCATGGTGCGCCCTATGGGGTACATCATCATGCTTATCTCCCTCCCTCCCACTCCCCACGCTACCATCGTGCTATGGTGCCATCCCAGGTGCGATGTGGAGGCGGTGATGCTAGAGATGGACCGCATTCTGCGCCCCATGGGGTACGCCATCATCCGGGACACGGCGCCGCACCTGCCACGCATCGAGGCCATTGCCAAGCAGCTGCACTGGGAGGTGAAGAAGGCGTTCCGGCGCCCTGGCAGCTCGGTTATCAGCTTCCAGAAGACCATGTGGCGCCCTGTTGCTGCTTAGGGCCAAGGCTGAGAGGGCCGGTTGAGAGGGTGAGGGTTGGTTGGAGAGGAAGGGTTGAGAGGGGTGGATGGAGTGTAGCTGGAGATTTCTGCACACACACCCGTGCACACACCCACACAGACAAGCGCCCACACGTGTGCTATTTGAGGCAAGTCTGATGTGCTTGTGCTTTGTGAAATGCTTTCTGTAGGAAGGCTACTTAGTTGCTTTGATTAGCATGAGAAGCGATATATCAGAGTGCCTTAGCCGTTGACTGGTAGAACTAGTGCATGCTTTCTGCTGGCTTTAGTTAAGGATTGTGCCTACCATTCATGATGTTGGGTAGGTTATTTGATCTATAGGGGATCAGAATGAGTGAAAAATGACTAGAATGAGGGCATACAGGTTGCATACCGTATGTACAAACTCGTACCTTTTAGAGCACAACCCAGTCTAGCATACAAGTATGTCAAATTGTATTTGTCCTGTAGGCTGTAGTGGGACATACCCTAAAGGGTACAACACTTTAGGGTTAAAGGTAGCTATACAACCCTGTACTGCCCATCATCCTAGTCATTCTTAGGTTCATACTTCTGACATGGTATTCAGAGCGGGTCCGTCCGTAGGACCGCTTCGTTAGGGCCCACCGATAGTTTCGACCTGCCCGATCTGCCCGATCTGCCCGATCTGCCCGTACTGCCCTGCCCGAACTGCCGGTACTGCCCTGCCCTGCTTGCACAGCCCTGCACGGCCTGCCCTGCCCGTCGCGCTGCCCGCACAGCTGCCTAGCGCGCGACCCGCACGCTGCCCTGCTAGCAGCCCGCTCGCACTGCCTGCACGCGCGCTGCCTTAGGCCTACGCGCGCCCTGCCCGCACGCCGCCTGCGCTGCCCGCGCACTGCCTGCGCTGCCCACGCGCTGCTGCTGCTGCCCGCGCGCTGCGTTTTCTGCCCGTGCGCTGCCTGCACCGCCAGCGCCCTGCCCGCGCACTGCACGCCCTGCTCGCGCACTGCCCGCACGCCGCTGGCGCCGCCTACGCGCTGCCCCTAAGGCCCGCCGCTGCAGCAGCTGCTGCTGGTGCTGGAGCTGCTGCAGGTGCTGGAGCTGCTGGTGCTGGAGGTGCTGGAGCTGCTGGTGCTAGAGGTACTGGAGCTGCTGGTGCTGGAGGTGCTGGAGCTGGAGGTGCTGGAGGTACTGGAGCTGCTGGTGCTGGAGGTGCTGGAGCTTCTGGTGCTGGAGGTGCTGGAGCTGGAGGTGCTGGAGGTGCTGGAGCTGCTGGTGCTGGAGGTGCTGGAGCTGGAGGTGCTGGAGGTGCTGGAGCTGCTGGTGCTGGAGGTGCTGGAGCTGGAGGTGCTGGAGGTGCTGGAGCTGCTGGTGCTGGAGGTGCTGGAGCTTCTGGTGCTGGAGGTGCTAGAGCTGGAGGTGCTGGAGGTGCTGGAGCTGCTGGTGCTGGAGGTGCTGGAGCTGGAGGTGCTGGAGGTGCTGGAGTTGCTGGTGCTGGAGGTGGTGGAGCTGGAGCTGCTAGTGCTGGAGGTGCTGGAGGTGCTGGAGCTGGTGGTACTGGGCGTGCTGGAGCTGGAGCTGCTGGAGCGGCTGACGGTACGGGTACTGTGCCGCGCCGACCGTTTTTCTACCCGCAGCCGCAGTCGTCCCTGCCACCACCTGACTCGGCCCTTCGCCAGGTTCTTAGTCTCCCGTCTTCCACTGGCCTCACTCCACCTCTACTGTGTCCGCCGACAAACCAGTCTCAGCCACAACTACTGCCTGGCTCCCCGATGCATGCTCCTGCTCCTCACACTAAGTGACTGCGTCCCTGACTGCGCGTCGTGAGCCTGAGACTCGTGCTTCCACACCTGTTTGTGCTCGTCGTGTCCCACGTCCTCGTCCTCCTGCTGTCCCAGGAACTCACGTTATGGAGCTTCGTCCTTCCTCTGTTCCACAGCGTGTTGCCCTGCCGTCTCCTCCTGCGTCCTCTCTTCCTGACGTTCCTGACCCTGCGTCCGACCTTGCTCGTGCTGCCAATCCTACTGTCACTCGTCTCCTCGCTACTGTCGTCACTGGCCCTGACTTTGAGTCTACTGCTGCGTTTGCCTTAGTCACTGAGCTCGTCGACTTTGCTACTACGTCGCGCGTCTTGTTACTGAGTCTGAGTCCGTCTGTCCTCCGTCCGTCGGGGGTGAGCTTGCCCTTGGCTGTGACGTCCTTGAGGACAGGCAGTTTGAGCTTGAGTGTCTCGTGGCCGCTTTACCTCGTTTCGCGTCCATGCTGCTTTGCCCTGAGGGAGACCCGGATGCACTTGACATCCCCACCCCGCGCTCTTACGGGGAGGCGATCACGGGTGAGTACTCCTCTCAGTGGCAGACAGCCATGGTGTCAGAATATATTTGTGTAACTGCCTGTAGCTGTAGTTTAGTGTAGCAATCATAAACTATTGGTGGTGCACCATTCTTGTTTCTTGCCTATTTGTATTGTTTGCTCCATAGTGAAGCCCTCCTTCTTGCAACAACTTTCTCGACTCCCCTTGGCATAGGCTACTAAGCCTAGGCCCTCACTTAAACCTAGCCCCCACTTGTGCTACTATTGTTACATGGTATCAGAGCAGGCACGTTCCTGCCGCCTTCTTTAATGGGCCCACCGTTAGCTTCCGCTGCTCCTTTTCCGGTCGCGCGCCTCGGGCGCGTGGCGATTTTCACTCTGTCACGCGCCTGGTGGCGCGTGACATTTTTTCTGCCCGTCGTGCGCCCCGAGGCATGCGGCGGTGCCCTACCCGTCGTGACGCCCTGCGGGACCCGCGCGCCGCCCCCACTGGACCCGGCGTGACGCCCTGCGGGACCCGCGCGCCGCCCCCACTGGACCACGCGACGCCCTGCGGGACCCGCGCGGGCCTGGCCTGCACCATGGTGCCGCCCCCGCGCCTGCACTCGGTGCGGCCGCCCCTGCCTCACCTCGCGCCTGCCTTCGAGCAGCCGCCCCCGCGCCTGCACTCGGTGCAGCCGCCCCTTCCTCACCTCGCGCCTGCCCTCGAGCAGCCGCCCCCGCGCATGCACTCGGTGCAGCCGCCCCTACCTCACCTCGCGCCTGCCTTCGAGCAGCCGCCCCCGCGCCTGCACTCTGTGCAGCCGCCCCTGCCTCACCTTGCGCCTGCCCTCGAGCAGCCGCCCCCGCGCCTGCCCTCGGAGCAGCCGCCCCTGCCTCACCCGCGCCTGCCCTCGGTGCAGCCGCCCGTACCCTGCCGTGCCTGCCCCCCCCCCCCCCCCCCCCCCCCCCCCCCCCCCCCCCCCTCCTTTCTCTCCCACTGCTGCAGCTGCCGCTGGGGGGGAGGGTGTGAGGGTGTGGGGGAGCTGGGGGAGAGGTGCTAGGGTTGTCGAGGAGTGTGGAGGGGGGATTTGGAGGACTGGGGGAGGTTCCAGGAAGCAGCCGCCTCGGAGCCAGCAGCTTCACCTGCCAGCAGCTTCTCCTCATATAGTCCCTCCTCCTCCCGACTGCCTCCCTTTGCTGTTATTTGTGAACATGTCACTGCTCTTGCCTACTGCCGCTTTACTCTGCTTGGTGTACCCATCCATGAGGTGTCATTGCACAAACTCCTGATGCAGGCAGTTATACGGGAGTGTCAGAATATATTTGTGTAGCTGCCTGTAGCTGTAGTTTAGTGTAGCAATCATAAACTATTGGTGGTGCACCATTCTTGTTTCTTGCCTATTTGTATTGTTTGCTCCATAGTGAAGCCCTCCTTCTTGCAACAACTTTCTCGACTCCCCTTGGCCTAGGCTACTAAGCCTAGGCCCTCACTTAAACCTAGCCCCCACTTGTGCTACTATTGTTACACATGGATGCAGAGATGGCTTCCTGGAAGTCCACAGGCACCTACGTCGACGAGGTTCCCCCTCCTGGGGCAAACATAGTCGATGGCATGTGGATTTTCAGAGTGAAGCGGCCGCCACGTTCTCCGCCTGCCTTCAAGGCGCGTTACGTTGCTCGAGGCTTCAGTCAGCGACAGGGGGTCGACTTCTTCCAGACCTTCTCCCCTACCCCGAAGATGACTACTCTTCGGGTGTTGCTGCACGTTGCAGCACAGCGTGACTACGAGCTGCAATCCTTTGACTTCTCCACAGCTTTCTTGCAGGGCAGCCTTCACGAGGAGATCTGGCTGCGCCGTCCACCTGGCTTCACTGGGTCATTTCCAGAGGGTACCCAGTGGAGCCTCCGACGGCCAGTCTACGGTCTCCGCCAGGCGCCCCGCGAGTGGCACGACACACTGAGGACGACACTTGTGGCTTTTGGGTTTGCTCCTTCCACTGCTGACCCGTCGCTGTTTCTCCGCACTGACTCTACTCTGCCGCCGTTCTACATCCTCGTGTACGTCGATGACTTGGTCTTTGCTACTGCCGACACTGAGGCGCTGACCCTTGTGAAGGCGGAGCTGCAGAAGAGACACACTTGCACTGACCTGGGTGAGCTGTGTCAGATTTATATGACTTAGCTGCTGTAGGCTATAGTGGGGTAGCACATATGGGGTACAGCTTTCTAGGGTTTGTACTTGTACCCAACTTTCCCTTAGTCATTTCATTCCTCGTTCATTCTCACATGGTATAGAGCAGGTTCCCCTGTGGGAACTGTTCCTAGGGCCCACCAACTTTTTTTTTCCTGCTCGGAGCGCGCTCAGCCTCTGCCCGAGTCGCGCTCCCCTCTCACGGCCCCGTCGCGCCGCCCTTACGACCCCGTCGCGCCGCCTCAGCGGCCCCGTCGCGTCGCGCCTTCCTAGCGGCCCCGTCGCGTCGCCCTTGCGACCCCGTCGCGCCGCCCTCGCGGTCCCGTCGCGTCGCGCCGCCCTCGCGGCCCTTTCGCGCCGCCCTCGCGGCCCTTTCGCGCCGCCCTCGCGGCCTCCTCAAGCCGCCCTCGCGACCCCTCCACGCCGCCCTCGCGGCCCCGTCGCCTACCCTTGCGGCCCCGGCGCCACCCTTCCCGGCCCCGGCACCGCCCTTCTCGGCCCCGGCGCCGCCCTTCCCGGCCCCGGCGCCGCCT